ATCTATGAGCTGGGCAATTCTAACTGTTCTGAACCTTATTCTCTTCAATTGTGAAATACTGCTGATGGCTTTCAAGGCTGTTTTGAGGACTACATATGATATTACTTATCTTTAAGTGTGTGTCACAAGAAAGAACCTCAATGGAAGCTGTTAAAGGAGTCACAAAAAACAGAATGGCAACATTAAAGCAATAAATACTAAGTAGAAAGGTGAAGAGCACACATATTTGAGGACTGGATAGTGGTAATAAGCTGAAGTTCACTGTGGACATATAGGAGAGGGGCTACACCAGTTCTTAGCCTGTAAGAGACAAGACAAGAGTGAAGAGAGGCAGGTGATTTATGAGTGTTTGTCTTCCTCTTCCAATCTATCCCAAAAGGTGTTCATATTCAGCTTTTAACTGCAGAACCATGTGGCCCTGTGTGTCACTGTTCACATTGTAGGAAATACCCTTCCAGATGCCAGACAATCTCAGAGTATGTGTCATACATGGGCTCATATATACACATGTGTGTATACATATATATGTAAATATACACACATACACACATACACAAAAATGTGATCTTTCCCTATATGTTCTTGCAATAATTAGCTTCTGTTGCCTTTATCCTACATATCCACAACTACACCACAGTTGTTTCTTTTGTTCTTCTGCCTGCTCATGTACCTCAGGCCCTTTCCTGCTGCATTCATGTACAACTGAAACATGTGCACATGTATATACACACACATACATGCACACAACTGTTCTTTACTGACTTCAGCCCTTTTTAGATGAGCTTTTGGGAAAGGTCCTAAGATGAACTGATTTGTCAAACATGTTACTGTGGGTGGGGGAGGACTGGGAATGGGGAGAGACCAGTAGCAGCTTTGGCACTTTCAGTCCATAACATAAGATAGAACTATATTTGGAAAAAAAAGTGTCAAACAAGAGACGGAGAGGCCAAAGAAAGGATATGGTGGTGGGCCAGAGAGGAAACAAAATGTGAAACATGAAAACATTTTAGACATAAAGATTTGGAGAAGGGAGAACTAGAGGAGTTTACAATGATGATGTGGGAGGGAAAGCAATTGATTCGGGCCTTTGAAACCATACTGGGAGCCAAGGGCAGAGGCAAAGGGAAAAGCCAGGTGGGATGGAAATGGAAATCCAGCTCCTTACAGTGCAGCACGGAGCAGGACTAAGGAGTTTGCTGTAGTCGGGGGTGGGCAAGTCTAACTCAGTCTGTGGGTTTGAAAGGACCTGGGCAAGTTGAAGGATGCTAGCCACTGTGGCCTTTCTGAGCTCAGATAGGAGTGGCAATCCTGGGCTTCATTCAGCTCGGAAGCCTGGGTTGAGGTGGATTTTGGGAAATTTTCTCTTAGCTCCCAAACTTTTAAAATGTGCTTCTCACACTACCAGCCTCCAATCAGAACATAAACACATGTCCTGGCAGCTGTTTTACATTGGAGGTCTCAGCAGTGGTACCTGCCATCTGACTAACGGGGCCCTTCTCCTTTCCTGTTTCCTAGATATTGTAAACTTGGCTGAATGCAATACAATTGCAAATTTCCCTTTGCCCTTCCTACATGCTTCACATCTCCAGACTCCTAGAGTTATCCCCAGGAAAACGTTTCTTTGAAAAAAAATGTGGTAAGCCTAGTTAGAGATCTAGATCCCAGACACCTCTGTCTGTCCTGCCTCAGCCAGACCACGGAGGGCTGGCTCCAGGAGGCAGCCATCTACCGAGGAAGAGCAGTGGGTTTTTGCTGCTGCTCATTTTCCAGGCTCGGTTGCTCTGCAGAATCGGGTACCCTGCAGCATGGGCTTTCCTTTTCTTTTTTCTCTTATTTCTTTTTTCTTTTCTTTCTCAGCAAAATACAATAATATCGCCTTACCATCCTGAGGGTGTTTCATAAAAGCAATTGAATTAGAAAGCACTTCTTCGTTGCTGCTCATATCCTGGGTTAAAGATATCTGATTTGATCTGGGTGTGCCTATTCTCAACACTGCAATATTTTAAAATGTACCTGCATTTGTTAAAAATAATTTGTACTGATTGTTCTTCTCCAGAATAAATACTATGTTACCGGCTGATTGATTTTAATTATGATTAATCTGTCCCAGAGCTTGCATAGATGTCTTCTTTCAGGACTTTTGTGCATATTTGCTGCTCATCAAAGGGAAGGATGGAAGACTCTGGAAGGAGGGAGTGGTCTGGTTGATTCAGCCAGCTTCTGAGCTCATCACCAACTCTTGCCTGCTCTTATCCCTTCCTCCTCTCCTGGCTCCTCAGATCCACCTTAAGCTTGCTGTCAATGAATTAGCATCTACCCTTCTTTCCTATGACAGACTATGTTAAACTTGGTTGGGTAAGAGACCATTTTCCACTCATTACATATTTGTCCCAGCATATTTTCAAACCAGGATGAAGACCAGAAAACTGCATCTACTCCCTAAACTTCTCCCATCCTGGGATTATTAGCCAGATATTAATAACAATAATACTGTACTTAGAAGCCCTCTTGCACATTTTATCTTAGAGTATTGTAAATGTTAACTAATTAATCTTCACAACACTCCATGCAAGAGAGGTAAATATTATTAACCATAATTAAATATAATATGGATTTGCTAAGGACAGCAAAATAGTTCACTTATTTATCACGGTTCACTTGATATAGTAACTGGTATTTTTAAAGCACCCATCATAGATACAATAATTAGAGATGTGCTTTTGCTAACAAAACCACTACCCACTGCTAGCGTACCCTTGGGTACTAAATAATTACCCACTTTGTGTGGTTATCTAGCTCACTAATTACCCACAGAAATTGGGGTCAGGTGTTAACTGCTTGAAATAAGTATCCTCCAAAGACATCACTCAATTGTACAGAAAAAAGTGATGTGTTCATGGCAAAACTTTCATAACTCATATATTTGTATATATTTGTAAGTTGCATGACTACAGATGAGGAAAATTGGTTCACTATGTGAAAATCATGCCCAACTATTATTGAAAATACACGCAGGTTTAGGACAGTCTCATTAAATTTCATTCTCTATATACCTTTCCTTTTTGAAGATGAGTACAATAACATGATTCCCGTAATCTGCCCTTTATATACAAACATGCTACAGTTGATGATTCTGCTTAGAAATGATTCATTTTGGCATTACAGGGAGGCACCCAGTGAGTCAAAGAGTGTTCGACAGCTCCACCCTTTATGATTATTCTAGCATGTTTCCTTTTTCTCCATCCGTCTACTGCAAACATGCTGTTAGACAAATCTGGAAAAGATTCTAACCTAGTCACCAGCCCTCATGAACCATTTTTCTCCTTCTCAATAATGACAAAAAAAATGAAAGTATGAAATAAAATCCAATACTAGGATTGCAGCTTTCTCTTTTTGGATCTATTTATTCTGCTCACCTCCTGTTCCCCTCCTCTTTCTCACTTCTCTCCCCCCCCCCCCGTCCTCTCTTCTCCCTTCTTCCCTTCTCTGAGTCTCCCCTTCTTGCAAGTGCTTTTTCCTCTCCTTTTCCTTGGCACACGGCCCTACTACTGCAGGCTTCACAGTCAGAGACAAAGCACAATATCTGAGTTGAACACAAAGAAGCCATCACCTTTTAAAAATACTGACTTGGAGGAAACCCGTACCCTTGGACCCCTCCCTCCTTTCCTTGCTGTGTCCAGAGCCCAGCACTGCACTTAGCACACCACTGCTTGTGGTCTGCAGGACCCCAGCCAGGAAAACTGGGTTAAGATGGCAGCACACACATTGCACACATAGTCAGGTAGAGACCCTCATTTTAGGGATCGATACCACTTTTACAGGATCGTCATGTAGCTGAGCTTTTAAAATATGTGCCAATAAAAATGATAGGAAATGCTCTTTTAGTTAACTCAGGATGTCTTTCATTTTCTATGTTGTGCCACTTGTGTCACGTGAGTTATTGCTTACCATTATTAAGGGACTTCAGGGTGGTCAGTGAGGTGCATACGTATCTCAGACGTTTGAGGCGAAATGCCTCAGGAGTAAAGAAAATGTCTGCAGTAAAAGCAAAGGGTCAGAATGAGTTACAGTGACTGATGTGTTTATTTCAAAAATCCAAGGGAATGTGAGTGGTCAATTAGCACATATGGCAAATATATTCAAAGAGCAAAACCTAGTGACTAAAAGAGAATGTTAGCATTGTAGTCGTTGTGATTCCTAGAGTGTCTGCATATTTAAAATGTTTATTAAACCATTGCTCTTTTATCCCTCTAAATGCCTATTTCAAAGAAATATCTGGGCATCGTCGACTTTCTGTCCATAGAGAAACCCACCAAGATTCATAAAATACATCACCTGCATATGTGTTTTTGAAATACCCATGGGCTATGGAACAATTAGGCAGAACTGCATTGTGGTCCCTCCTTCACTTCTTTCCCCCTTTCAGATCCTTTTAGAAACTATGATGCCTGATCCCGGTGTCTAGCAGGCTGAGGATTTTTGGTATTTGTATAATATAATGTCTGGCCTTCCCCCTGACCCGCTGGTGTAGTTTTGGTCTCATTAGTAGTCAGGGAGATGCCTTAGTGCATCCGGCGCTGCGAGTCAGAGATGAGAAACACTACAACGGTGAGAGGGAGAGTGCACGAGAGGATATTAGGAGAGAGGCTTGTCTCCAAGATATGGAAGGTTGTGAGAAATGACAGAACTGCAAGCTTTGTATGTAGGAGCCCGGCAGGGTGGGGGAGCCAAGGTGAGCCAAGTGGGTTCTCAGAAAAGGAGGAAGGCCATAGAGGAGCTAAAGGTGATTAGAGGGGGATACTGATTCCGTATTCTGCCAGAGATTTAAGCAGGCATGCGAGGAATCTGCACCATGGCTGGCAAAGGAGACCGCTGCCTCCTGTAACCAGACACGCAGGCTCTCCAGGAGCCTGGGGAGCGAGCCGAGAAGAAAGGGGGCAGTGTGGTCTAGGAAAATTCAACTTGTCGCTGATTTGTGCCTGATGCTTGCTGTCCGTCAGCAGCCTCCCTTACAATCTTTTTTTTCCTCTCCCTTTTTTTCTTGCCTTCTCCTTCTTCACTGAAGCCTAGGGGAGCCAGTAAAGATTAAATGTGCTTTCTCAAAGGCAGCCACTTCATGCTGCTACATCGAAAGGGCCATTATTATTTTTATTTTTAATAGTAAAAGAAAACGGGGGGGAGAGGTAGGCTGGGGTGGGGGAGAGGCAGACTAGGTAGGATGGTGACGGACTAGCCTTCCCGAGAGGAAAAGGAAAAGGGAAGGGAAAGAAAAAGGAGAGACCCGATCTGAGCTGAGGATGGTGCCTGAGAAGAACCCACCGAGGTGAGAAAAAAAGTCCTGAAGACAGGGGTGGGGGTGGGGACGTTGAGTAGACCCTGTGCGGCGGGGAACGGACGTGATTTAGCTGTCTTGCTGGTGTGATGCTGTTCTGGACAGGGGAAAGGATGGGGGAGAGACTGGAGCTTCACCAGTTGTAGTTGCATCTGGAAATATATCCAAAATACTTAGCATTTTATTAAGCGAGGCCCCCTCTCAGTGTCTTCCTTGAGGGGCTGCTTTGTCATTCTCTTTGACTAGCCAGCCATCTACCTTGCTCAGAGTGGAATAAAAGAAGAAAGAAAGAAAGAAAAAAAACGGAAGGAAGAAAAAGGGAGGACAAAATTTAAAGAGTCATCTCCCCACCCACTTCCCCTCCTTTTCGTTTCATTTTTGGACGCGTCACAGGAGCCGGCGGTCCTCCCGTAGAAAAGCCCAGCGTCCCGGCGGACGGGGGAACCGACCATCAGGTACATTACCAGTGGCCGCCTGCGAGGATGGAGGGGGACTGTGCTTCCGATTCCGCCGAAATATTGGCAAAACGCTGCCCAGGCCCAGCGGCGGGCGAGGCGGGGAACGCCGTCTCCCGGGGGCCCCCACCCTCCCGGCCCCCACCCTCCCCGCTCCGCGTCCGCCGAATGACAGCCCCGGGCTGGCTCCGTCCGAGACTTGGCCTTGGCCTCCGCGGAGCAACTGAAGCCCAGGAGGCGCGTGTGCAGGGCCGGCCAAGTGCGCGCGAAGGAAGAAGAGGACGAGCCTTTTCCAAAGCAGCTCTGGGAGGTTTTTCATTCTTTAGTTAAAATAAAGATAATGACTGCACAGTCTCCATATCTGATCAGCCCCAGTCCTTCCTCGCGCTCCCACCTCTGCTGCCCCTTTCCCTCCCTCTCCGGCCGAAGCCGAGGGGCAGAGTCGCGCCCCCCGCCCCCGCGCGCCCGCGCCCGCGCCCAGGCCGGCGCCCGGAGCCCGCGCTCCCGGCTCGGACGGCGCGACCGCGGCGGCTGCCCGCTCCTCTTCCAGCCGGGTGAGTGTGAAACGCCTTTCGTTTTTACACTTTCGCAGCCTCCGAGTGCTACTTCGTGGTCTTCTTCGAACAACCTGATTTCTTTCGGTTTGTCTGTTGGCATGCTCCCCCAAGGGAAAAGACGCCTCGTTTTCTTCAGTCATTTATGATAGTTGTAATCTTGGAAGAGACACTTGATCAGACCATGGTTTTTTAAAACGTGACATTTCTGAGTCTATCGTATTATTTTCCATTTTCGTAAACGATTTTTCCCAAAGCTGTAAAGAATTTTCTCTGATGCACTCACGACTGTATGTTCAGGTATGTATATGTGGCCAGAGACACTGCGTGTGTGTGCGTGTGTGTGTGCATTCCCACTACATCTGGGTGGTATCTAAAACCGGTGAACCAAAGGGAGCCGAGACAGTAAGGGAGTAAGTACCCTGCCACCTGTTTGTTGCCTTTTAATCATGGAGCCAGAATAGAAATTACCTGTCATTCTTTTTCTGCTCTGTTTTGTCTCAAGAAAGAACAATTTGTTGCGCTCCTCTCAATCCCTGAGACCCTAACTTGTGATGTTTACCATTTAAATCCACGGGTTAGGCTCTTGGGAGCTGCGAGTGGTGCTTTCACATCCTAAAAATTTGGTGGAACTTTTCTTCTTTAAAGCAAAGACAAAAGAAGAGAAAGTTTGTCTGACGTGATGGAGTGCATCTCCGAGGTTTTCACTGTTGGATGGGATCAGGTGATCAGAAAGTGGCAGCTTCTGGATTTCTGTTAAAGTAAGCCCGTATTCTGTTACAACAGCATTCTGGCTGCTATGTGTGTGGGGGGAGGTCGCTGACGCCCCAGGCTTGTGGAAACTCATCTTCCAGGGTCTCTTTCTTGAGAGCAGCATGCAGTACTATCTAACGGAGCATAGCAAGAACAGCTCAGTACCTGGTGCTTGACCGCAGAACGGATTAGCTGAAGTCCCAGCATGCCTTATGCTTCCAACTTTTAAACTCAACAGTTGATCTTAAAATTGTGCCCAATTAAAACGGGCATGTGGACGTATTATACATGCGGTGCCCACACATGTGTAGCATGGATGGCTGGATGATGAACACAGATATAGATAGGAGTGAACCAATACATTGGGCTAAAATATCAATTGGCTGAAAATTTTACTCATCATTCTAGATGAAGGATGGAATTTGTGGTATTAATAAAGACTAAATTTGTATTCCTTTGCAAGATCTTAGGTAAAATAAAAGGAGTGAAATGGCTTCTTGCTTGGCATCTACTTTAAACTGTTATACACAATGAATTTAAAAGTAAAAGGGATTGGATATATATTTTCTTTCTCTCATATATATATGAAAGAAATAACAGCACACATACAAAATTATTGTGTCCTTTAGGAGTAACTATGTCTATTACTCTTTGTTTAAAAATTGGGGGAAAAATCAGGATTGAAATTTAATCCAATGTTGTTATTTATAACACCAAACTATGTGTTTAAAAATTATCCTCTTTTAAGGTAATCGTTAGGGTTATGTGCTTTGTAGTTTTCTGAAAATGGAACATTTTTGTAACAGAATAACTTCAGTGATTTAGATCTGTCTCATAGTTAGAGGGAAAAAACCAGCAATTTACCTTTTCTTTGTTGTGAAAATTTCCAATATATAATTTCACTCAAACAATTTTAGTATTCTTGGGCCAACATTTGTCTTCTATTTTTGGAAAATACCTAAATCAATCCCGTCTTCAAATGCTTTTTTCATTTACAGATTTTATATCGGTTGTAACCTTGTTTTAAGTATATAGTCAAAGGTTAAGGAAACTCTTCTTTCCTTGTTGTTTTCTTTAAGTATTCATTGCAATTTTAGTCACTGACTTCAGGTCATAGTGAAGAAACAGTTTGTCTCAGAAAACCGAGTTGAGAAGATGCACTGTGGAACAATTGCACCATGCCTTTTGTTGAAACCTTTAGTGGACGTATAATATTTAAATATTACTCTCCAGCCTTGGCTAGTCTCAATGTGTTTCAAAGAAAAGTTATTTGATTTTCAAGTCATCTTTCGGTTTCTATAGATTGGATCAATTATTTTTCCTCATCTTAGCCGATGTGTATGCATAGGTATTTGGAAATGAAAAGACATCTATTTAACTTATGGATATAGATTGCCACACGATTCATTTCGAATTTTTGTAAAACATTTGGTGCTTTTTGAAGTCAAAATTTATCAGCAGTTAGTTTTGTGAAAATGTATGCATGGGTCAATAAAAACCTGTTAGATAAAACTCTTCTGTGATTTTTAATAAGAGGATAGTAATCTAATACAAGTGATAGTTTGTATTCCAAGGCATTCTTTCAATTTTTTACACGTTTTCAAGTGGTTTGCTCATGTTCTGAGGTTGCTATCACACAACTGATCACTCAGGCATTTAGGAGTGCATAACGACACACAAGATTTTATATTTCAGCAGGGAGCTGCTTCAGTGTAAGATAGGTTTCCCCACATCCCTTCTTCCTCACTGAGCCCATCAGTGAAGTTCAGTGAAATGAATAACATAATTGGTGGTTGGTTCAATCACTACCAGTCTAGACTAGCCCAGACGCATCAATTAGAGGGGGCTGTCTTTTAAAGGGAGAGTGTGACCGAAACAAGCAGGGCATTATTGATACTGATCTTTAAAAGTGCAAATCCAGCTTGGCAGATAAAAAAAATAAGGCGGGGAATTTGGGGGTGGGGTGCATTGCAGGAAGAAAAGAAAAAGAAAGAAGTGAACTGGAGCTTTGGGACACAGAAGGACAGGAAGCCGAGAGCAAAGGAGGGGATAATGAGTGAAATGCAATGCAGCACCTCCTTGGAACACAGTTACAATTCAGTTCGCAGGACATACCGGTTCACCATATTTTTAACCAGATTCTCTTGTCCCCTTTCTTTTTTTATTCCTTTTTTGCCCGTTTCCTAAGAAGTAACCGCTCAAAAACAATGCAGTTGGGAATTTAGGAAGCTCTAGTAAGAATAAAGCCAAGTTATACCTACCAGCCAAAACTCCTTTTGCAACATTTTCTCCAAAAGAAAAACACAAAAAAATGTTTATTTTTGAATTTCTAATCCCACCTTAAAAAATCAACTGTACTAATGAACAATACTCATTTTAAAACCAGCAGCTGGGAACTAATCCTATGGGCAAGACAGCTAACATAAACAGTCCATAGTTTTCTGCAGAATACAGTAAAATTATGAAGAATGGAACAAAGGCTCTGGTGACTCGTTGGGGTTGGGGGTGGTTGATGGATAAAAGAGGATTTAGAAAGCATTAGGAATATATCAAGCCCTGGGGAAAGAAAAAGTTTAATTGGTATTAATTAAAACACTGCTAATATATTCTAATAAAATCAAATTTAACATTCTAAACTAATCCGATTGGTATGTCAAAGGAAAAGAAAGTATTATCTTATTTGCATCTCTGCAATTCAAATGCATTTGCTCATTCAGCAGAATTAATTTTTATCACCAGCCTGTTTAATCTCCTCACAGATTTAGTCAAACTTATTCTTTCAAACTAAGAGGATCAAGGTAGGGAATCCAAAAAGGTATTGGGAAGACTAGTGACTCTATTTCGTACTGGTTTTACATTGTACTATGTTCTTTTCTCTTCCTTTACTATAATGAGGTGTGGGGGGAACGGTGAGGTTGCAGCAGGAATGGTGAATGGTTCATTTTTCCTGTCTTTCTCTCCTACCTCCCAGGTTATTTAGGAATTTCACTTGCCAAGTTATAAAAGTGGCACTTATTTACATGGCTGTTGCTGATGTGTTGATTAATATCTCCTTTATGTCTAAATTCAGAATTTTTTATTACAAATTTCTCATGAAAAAGGCTCTCAAACCAGAAACTAATTACCTTTCCTCAATTAGTTTCAACTGTAGTCCTTCTAAATGCAAGTGGGGAGGTGAGTGTAAAATTTTATTCACTTAGAACTGAATTCTTTGTTTTATTCTTAAGTTAAAATTTCTACTGGAAAGTTTATACTTTTATGAAATGGCAAGTTTTATGCTCTTTATTGTTAAACTCTCACAGTGGATAAAATTGTCCCAAAATGACATCATAGCCAAAATGTTTCTCCTCTCATTAGTCTCCTATGACTATGATATCATATGTAAATATGTGTCTTACACCAAAAATAAATGGGCCAAATATATTCAGAACCACATTTGTATGTTTCAAAGTGAGCAATTCTGCACACTATCAAGGAGATGTGAACTACTTACTCAACTACTGATGATCCTGCCTTTTTGCTCCATTGCCTGTTTCAGTTCTTCGACTGAAAAGAGCAATTGCAGTTCAGTTTCACTTGTATTGTTCTATAATCCAGGCAATAAATGCTAATTAGTGATGCTCAAGGATCCAACTACTCAGAGTAATTATCATAATTTACTTCTTCCTTGTTAAAGACATTCCTTGCTGATTTAAAAAAAATAAATTGTTGTTTTGTCATTGCATGCAGCGGAAATGCACCGGAGAGTGTTTGAGGGAGGGTCACATATCGTTCTTGATTCATTTGAAGTCACCAACATGTGCCTCTCAGCTTATTCCAAATGGAATTGCAACTTAATTTCTAAAAAAGGAATTCATGTAAATAGATAAAGTTGCATGTGCACCAGTAATGTATGATTTTATTTTACAAACCTCAAGGCTCCTCCTTCTTGGCCCATCCCCTTCCTAAAATCACTTACTGAGCAGAACAAAGGAAACTGCTAACTGTAGAGGCATCATTGTGAACAGCAACAGCATGATAAAGTACGTGATATGACAACACATTTCAGTGCACAAAAGTGCAACTAATTAAATAATTAAACAGTAACCCTCATTAGCAGACAGATCTTTAAGGAGAAATCAAGAAAATGGATCCAATCAACTTG